GTTTCAAAGGTCTATTCTCCCCTCAGGTCCTCTCTTCCCATTTTACTGTTTCAGTAGACTAACATTCTTTATGTAATAACATAGAGAGATCCATTAAAGACAGTAGAGTAAAATGCTTTTCTATTCCCCAGACTTAAATTCCACTTTTTTCCTTCCTTAGGTGGCCCAAGGGGCTAGGTAACTAAGCCAGATATATTTAAAATTCATTATTTCTGGGTTATTTCTGGACAGTTTGTTTACTTATTTTCTTTAGTTCAGTCTTGACACACAGACAAATGTGTACCAACTGTCTACGTTTTATATTTGGGTGAATACCTACCTGGAAGTGACATGTGGCAGGAAGCAAAGATGGAGAGAAAGGAGTTCAAAGTAACCATTAGCTTCCAAGTCCACTCACTGGTCTCCTACTCCAACGAGAAAGGTTGGGGCTCTGTATCTTTCCTACTGTTTTTCAGATTATTAATACCTTCATTGCACTCTCAGTTCATCCATCTCTCTTATGTAAGATGTCATAATTGCTTCCATTCTCTGGTTTTCTTTTGTACTTTGATCTTCTACTTCTTCTGCTTGATCTCCTTTGATGTGTTAAAACTACAGGGTTACAACAATCTTCACACAAGCCATGAACTTTACAAAGAAAAAGAGTCATGTGGGCTCCCTGTGCTGCATACTTTTCGTGTGTGTGTGTGTGTGTGTGTGTGTGTGTGTGTGTGTGTGTGTGTGTGTGTGTGTGATTGTCTGCAGTTGTTCACACAGGCCAGAAGAGAGAATCAGATTCCCTGGAGTTGGAGTTACAAGTGGTTATGAGCACCATGATTTGTGTGCACAAAAACTAGTTTGGGTTCTCTTGAAGAGTAGGAAGCGCACTAAACCTCGGAACCATCTCTCCAACCCTCAAACAAAAGAATCAATGCTCACATATAGGTTCCTTGATTATGGAGTTATTGTTCTGTTTCTGATAATTCAAAGGTTCAACTTTATATTTTTAACTTTCTGAATAATTCCATATCCTGTGAATTTAAACTTATCTAGCAAATTCTGGAGACAACAATCTTCTAACTTTTTGTTCTTTCTTTCTTTTTCACAAATTGGACATTTTGTCACTATTGGAAGTCTGGGTTTTAAGTATTTTTTGGTTCATATCAATCAGCTTGTTCAACTTTAGCACCTGACTCATCGTTTGTAGAGCTCCATGAGTTTCCTCAATTCAAACTTGGGTTTTTCAGCATTTTTATTTTTCTAAGGAAAACATCGTGACAAGAATAATTGGACAAGTAGATATAATCTGTCTTTCCCTTTGTCTGCAATCAATGTGTTAACCATTTCCTTCAAGTCAATTGTCTGCCCTTCTCAGATTTTCATCATCTTCCAGATCTGGAGGACCTGCTGGCTCTGTACACAGGACGTCTTGCATATCTGGTTGTTGCATTTTTATTTATTTATTTAGCCTTGAACATCCTCAGTAATTAGCCTGAATTTTCTAAATGCAATTTTGTCACTCTTCAAATCCACAACCCTGGAGGCCATCAGATGTAATTTTGGTCCCCTGCGTCCTTGTGACTAATGTTTTTCCAATGTTTCTAAATTTGAACATAGCCAGAGCTTTCACATCATACCAGTCTTTCTTAGAAAATGGATCAACCACTTTCTTCTTGGCTCTCTTCATAATGCCCTTAGTCAGGCCTTGTTCTTGCTGATGGCTGCCATGGTGCCGCGTAGAGAGAGAGCCAAAGGGGAGGAAGTATGCACAGTTTGCGTGTAAACTTCCATGAATGGGGTGGGACTAACTCTTATTTCTTGGTAGAAATGGAACCTTGCTAAAAACAAAGGTGGGGTGGATTGAGATAATTCTCATGTATGGTCTCAGATTGGGATCAGTTGTGCATTTTACCAAAGTTAAAAAGCTGGAGGCATCTTACACAGCTACAGTTACTATCATCATTGTAATTGCTGATGGTATTAATTTTTTTATTAACTTCAGCATTGAGTGAAAAGAAATTTGTATGTCTAATTTCAAAATTAGTAGTTTTACCTTTAAGAAAAGAGCAGAATGCATGGCTACATTGTATCACTCCATGGTAGCTAGCACTTTCTATTGTCCTCAATGTGGTAACCACATGTTTTCTGTTTCTTTTTCTCCCAAATAGCTAAGTCTTAAGCAAGAGAGTTTGCAGGAAATGAAAGGGAAAAAGTGGACTTTTCTTTTTCTTTTGTGGCATTTGGAGTATATGCCAATGGGCTACGTACACCCCTAAAGTTGTGTGTATATGTCCAGATGTGTGTACTTAATAAAGAAAATAAACAAAGCACATTGTGACTGTACTGAGTAGCTATTTCTGTTTTCAGGAAATGCTTTTAAATTTTTTGAAGCAAACTGTGAGAACATTATGAGCCTCATCCACTATGAATGTTTAGTGATCATATTTACAAATCACTTATATCTTATACCACCCTGTAAAGCATAAGTGTGTTTGTGAGATTTTGTAAAAACAAATAAATGTGTAATGGAATTTCACCGATGGAAAATACTTCAAAAGTGGAATTATTCTTGTGTATACCCAATATTTTAAAGACAAACTTGAGGATTTTTTTGTCCAATATTAGTGGCCACAATGTAATATTGCAATGAATGAACTGAAAATGGAATAAATGGATATCCAGGAAAATCAGAGATTTTGAAACATAGGTAAAATCAGAGATTTTGAAACATGGAAAAATACTTTGAAGAGGATTTGGTTTAATTTCTGACCAAGAACCAAGAACCAGACAAAATAAAACACATGTATAGAGATGCATTTCTCCCTCCCCTTCCTCTCTCCATCCCCTCCTTTCCCTTTGCCCTTTCCTCCCTCTCCAAGTACCAAAACTGGAAACAAAGGCAAGTTATCTGAGATCCAGGACAAACTTTCTGCCCTCCCATTGAGAGCCACTTTGTTCTTGTACTCTAATTTGACCTCCACAGCAATTCTCTTCCCTCAGAAACCTGTGGGCAAGTAATAACTGTGCCCAGCCTTTCACTTCTGGAGATAGACTGTGGGCAGATGCAGAGACTTTTTCAGATGAAAGATAATTATACTCAGTCTCTTCCTATTTCCCCCTATAATTCCCTCTGTCTATCCAAATTATAGACACCTGTTTTGCATTTTTTTAACTCTATTTCCCTTACCAGGTCTAGAGAAGTCAAGTGGTTTTAAGCCTTTTAGCCAGACAGTAAAATGACAACTAGCATTATCTTAGAGATGGCTTTGCTCAAGAAAAAATTCATTGTTGGCTTGCTGTGAGTGAATTTGTACTTAAAGTTTATATTCATCATATAGGCAATATGTGGGCAAAATTCTGTATCCTATCCCTTGGTGATATATATATATATATATATATACATATATATATATATATATATATATGTTCATTTACAGACTCCATCTAACTTGACTCAAAGGCAGGCAGACTCATTAGTCTGGACTCCTGTCATGCAGTTTATCTAGGCTAAAGAAGCAGCCCCATACCCCTCTATGTTAGTCAGGACTCTCCCATGGCAGATGACCACCACAAGGGACTGTGTTAATACACAAAAGAATGCATCAGAGAACCTGAAGGAAATGCTCAAGACCCAGAACGTGTCACTTTTTTCCTAGCAGTGGGAGGAGGAATAATTTTGCCATGTGACCAACTTGACATTCAGATTCTAGGAAGATGGTTTAATTAGGACAAACTCAGATCTCATGACCAGTTCTTGAAGAAGTCTCATGAGTGACTTGTCAGTCCAACCTCACTACTGGGGTGGGGGGTGAGGTGAGGTGGGGGTGGGGTGTCAGATGTTGGGGCAGAGTTTCCCAAAGAACAGAAAGAAAGGGGAAATGGATTTGAAGCAGTCAATCTAGCAGATGGCCACCAAACCACTTCATGATCACTTATGGAAAGACAGAGGCAGGGGTGAGATTAAAGTGTATCTAGACAACAGCTCAATGATGAGACCAATAAAATGGATACTAAACTCTGGTTTTCGTAGTCGTTTAAAAAGGGCCACTTGCTGACAATTTCCTTTTGAATTCAGCCCAGAGCTTCCTAGACCCTGAGTAGGATGTGAATAGCTGGTCTATTAAGCATCTCCCTCCAGTTGCACACTCCCCTCCTACTCAGCCTCCTGGCCACACCTACTGCCTTCTTTGTACTTAACTCTGACCTAAAAGTCTCTTTTAATACCTTTGCTTAGATTGGAAGAGGAATTAAAAGCTGTTGAATACTTTACTGACTTTCAATATTTAATATTGGTAATTTGAGTTTAACGTTTAACGTGCGAAGTCAAACCTTATTAGACACACACAAGAGCAAGAGCAAGAAGTCAAAAGGTCACTTGACGACTTTGAGCACTCTTTTGGCCTTCCTCTAGCTCTCCTGTACACAGTACAAATTGGCCTGTTATGGTTATTTGAAGGGAAGGAAGAGAGAGAGGGAGGGAGAGGGAGCTTCAACTTCGTTCCCTATAAATTTTCACTTTGGTTATTAAAATGCTCACTGTAGGAAACAGATTTGTAACCCATTTCTCATATTACCTACAGCCAGAAAAACAAAATTTGATATCCTGGGGTTTATTTGCTGAGGGCGCTTCCCATAAAAGCAGGGTGAGTGTGCATTGGGAAATTCATCTGGTTAACTTTTCTATGGATAAGCCTTAGTCACAACCTCCCCCATCTCAACAGGCACACTTTGGCCCCCATCGCTCTCCCCACCTCTTGACTTCCCGCCTCTCTGGGGCTGGTGACCTAATAGCATTTTTCTTCATGCATATTTTGGCTTGGGCCCATGGCCTGGCTGCCTTTGCCTGTCTGAGTCTTTTGAAATTCCTGCATGTTCAGCCCAGATTAAGTCGAGTGTGTCTCAGGATGTGTGTTCCGTTTTGTTCTTTCCCCTTAACTCTCCCTGTGCAACGTGTCTGGGGAGGAGGGGAGTGGGGCGGAGAGGGGAGGAGGGGCAGAGTGGAGGAGCTGTCCGCCTTGCACGTTTCCAATCGCATTACGTGAACAAATAGCGAAGGGGCAGCGGGGCCAGAACCGCTTGTGTAAGTGCAAACTTGTCAGAAAGTTTAAAATCTCTCCCCCTTCTTTCACTCCAGACACTGTGCGCTCTCTGGGACCGTCGTGCGCCTCTCCTGTCGCCTTTCAGGACTGGGAAAGGGGAGAGAAGGATCGTGCCACGTCCGACGGCTGGGGGCAGGGTCTGCCGTCAGCCCTTGGCACGACTCACTGCGACCCATCCCCGCGCCTCGCCCTCCTCCTGGCCCGAAGAGGTCTCCTTCCTTCGCGGGATCTGAGCCCTGTCTGCATTTTCTCTCAGCCAGGTCCTCCCCAGGAAGGACTACCCAGGAGAGCCATGCGTTTCGCCTGGACCGTGCTTCTGTTGGGACCACTGCAGCTCTGTCCCCTTCTCCGCTGCGCCCCGCAGGCCCCGCGCGAGCCACCGGCCGCCCCGGGCCCCTGGCGCCAGACAATCCAATGGGAGAACAATGGGCAGGTGTTCAGTCTGCTGAGCCTGGGGGCGCAGTATCAGCCGCAGCGACGCCGCGACTCCAGCGCCACTGCCCCGGGACCCGACGGCAAAGCTGCCCCGCAGCCGCGCACGCCCATTCTGCTGCTGCGTGACAACCGCACGGCCACTGCTCGCGCGCGAACACCAAGCCCGTCTGGGGTCGCCTCCGGCCGTCCCCGACCCGCTGCCCGCCACTGGTTCCAAGCTGGCTTCTCGCCGTCGGGGGCTCGCGATGGTGCTTCACGGCGTGCAGGGAACCGGACTGAGTCGCCTCAGCCCCCGCAGCTCAGTAACCTGAGGCCTCCCAGCCATGTAGACCGCATGGTGGGCGACGACCCCTTCAATCCCTACAAATACTCCGACGACAACCCCTATTATAACTACTATGACACGTATGAGAGGCCCCGGCCTGGGAGCAGGTACCGACCCGGATATGGCACCAGTTACTTCCAGTACGGTAAGCAACCCACAGCACCACTGTGGCTGCAGGTCCTTGCTGTCTAGATGCAGCTGTCTGAGAGCAGCGGGCAGATCCCCGCAGACCCGACCCCCCCCCCCTTCCCCTTCGCCTGCCCCGCCAGCTCTGGAATCTGATGGAAACCACCGCTCTCCTGGCCCCAACAGCTTCCTCTTCCTTTCCATTGCTAGCCTTGGCGGTCCCTGTTCTTCCACACACTCAGCCCCACCCTGCGGACTTGGTGGGCAAAGGGTAACAAAGAGGGGTCCTGGAGTCAGGGGTTATCTGCTTGTCTTATTTTTAGGTCTCCCGGACCTGGTACCGGACCCCTACTACATTCAGGCATCTACATATGTGCAGAAGATGTCTATGTACAACTTGAGATGCGCTGCAGAAGAAAACTGCCTGGCCAGGTATGGATTTCCATAGCCCAGCTCCCCGGGATCACCCTGTTCCTAGCTCTGACTGCCATTTAGTGCAGACAAGGGCTAGGAAGTGGGGCAAGGGCTGGGAAAGTGGGACGTGACCTCCTGGGCATGCTGACTTGGACAGAAAATTAAATTGGAATGTTTGTATGGGTACCGCCTCACTGAAAGGCGCGACTCGGGGGAGGAGGTAAAAACTCTTAATCTAGAGACTGGGTCTCAGGTTCTTTCCCAAGATTCCTATTAGGAATTGGCGCCAACTATTTCCAACAGCTTTCTGTAAAACAGGAACTCAACAACCAACAACATCGGAAAATAGAAAGGGAGCACTCGTTAATTATTCTCCAATGATCTGGGGGAGTCTTCGCCATGGTGGCGCCCCCCATCGGTAACGATTGCATACTACATTTCTTTCAGGCCATGATTAACTGGGTTGTTTTGGTTTAAGACCATGAGCAAGAATTTTGTTTTCCGCCAGTCCCAAAATAAAATAGCTATTCTGGACTTGGAATTCTCCGATTTTGCTGCTGGCAACCAGCAGAGGGAGCATAAAATGCTTGTGTAGTTCTAGTGGTACCTTAAGTAAAATGGGTCACCAATGATATTCCAAACCAGACATACAAAAATATAGTAGCGTCCCAGAAGTGTTTATATAAACCTTTATTCCACATTGACTTTTGTACAACCGTCTGGCTAAGGGAAGAAATTCAAGCTCATTTTCATTCCCAAGTCTTGCACGATCCACACTACAGAACCCATTGGAAGATATTAGAGAAGTGTTCCCTGTCAGATGATAGTGAGTCATGAAGCTATCTATCTATCTATCCATCCATCCATCCATCTATCTATCTATCCATCTATCTATCTATCTATCTCCTATCTATCTAAAGCTAGCTGTCATATTTTAGGGTTCTCTACTTCATATCTTAGGTCTATCAACTTATTAATAGATACCTATGGATTTTTTGGCATATGGTCAATACTATAGCAATTTAATAGTTTTTAGATGCAGTCTGTTGTCAATAAATTTTTTTAGTGGAAATCCTAATTGCAAGCTCTGTAGGTTTTTTTACTGTTGTCCTTCATTCACTCACTCACCAGATAGTTACTATGTTTTTATTCTTCCAGGACTGAACAGGAGCTCAAGATTGTCTCTTTGAGCTGCGAGGCTAGTTGGGGAAGCAGGGAGGGGGGGGAGGGGTGTCACTACCATGTAATGGTGGGCTGTTTGTTCTGGTTTTGTTTTTTCCTAGGTATTTCCTGTATCTAATGTTTCTTTTCTAAACTTCCAGTTCAGCATATAGGGCAGATGTCAGAGATTATGATCACAGGGTATTGCTACGGTTTCCTCAAAGAGTGAAGAACCAAGGGACATCTGACTTCTTACCAAGCCGTCCCCGATATTCCTGGGAGTGGCACAGCTGTCATCAGTAAGTGGATGGGCTTCTCCGTACTTCTGGGATTCTCTTACATTTTTCAGACGATTATTCACATGTCTTACCAAAAGCTAGAGATTAGGAATCATTTTTACTTAGAACTTTTACCATACGGTTTGATGTCATCAAAGGATGTTAAACCTTAAAGATAGCTCCTTCAACACTAAATCCCATTATCTTTATATCTGGAGACTTAAGTCAGGCTCTTTAAAACTGTTGAAAGAGCACAACAGAGGATGCCAGCACAGTTTACTATTATATAGAAGCATCTGCTACAGATAAGATCAGGCATGTACATGGTGCACATATAAGTTGTAGGCAAAACATTCTCACACACATAGAATAAACAAATCTTAAAAAAATAAAACCAAGAAGATAAACTGGCCCTGTTTATGAGACAAGGAGGTTGCTTAATGTCCTCATTGTTTTCTCTACTTGCCACTGACTACTGTGTCTTTGTTGTGTGGAACATTAGACATTACCACAGCATGGATGAATTCAGCCACTATGACTTGCTTGATGCCAACACACAGAGGAGAGTGGCTGAAGGCCACAAAGCAAGCTTCTGCCTCGAGGACACATCCTGTGACTACGGGTACCACAGGCGTTTTGCGTGTACTGCGCACACACAGGTAGGCTGGCACTCAGACATCAGCAACCCACACATACCCAGAGGAGATGAGAACAAGGTCTTCTTCTATTTTCTCCCCCAACCTTTCTTTTTTAAATCGGTTGTTTCATTTCGAGGCTATCTTATCAACATGGGAAGTAACTGGGACAAGGCAAAGGACTGGGTGGTGCAAATGGCTTTTAAAGTGTTTCCAGCTGTGCATGCAGCCCCTGCTGGTGATCACAGAAGGTCAACATGGATTCTTGCTACACAACACAATGAGAAGCAGTTTACTTTCTGAATACATGTGAATGACTTAAGAACATCTGTCTTCATTCTGTGCTCTTTAATTGGTTATAAATAGCGTTGGTGATGTGCAAATGTTTTCTCACCTGCAAAACCATTTTGTTTTCCACCTTCATGCTTAATATGGAATAGTGCCTAAAGTTTGAACAAAGAGTTGAAGTCAGGTTTCTTCAAAATACTTTGAACAGCATCCGTTTCAATATTGCAAATAAGAACAGAAAGACACATTTCTTTCTCCACACAAGTATATTTAAACCTACAGTGTGATTAAAGTCAGATGTTCTTTGGACAGATTTGTTTTTAATAGTGCTGAGCTAAGCACTATTGTATGTCTAAGAATTGGAAAATGTGTGTCAGTTAAAAGCCATGTCAGTGTTTCCATCCAAAACCCTAATTTGTAAAAGGACATTGTAATTTTCCTCCAGCCCAGCTCTTGGCATGTAGTCCATGAATGTACATTACCCAGCGCACAAGGACACCAGCAGTCATCATCTTGGAGAGCAGATTCCAGGGTTGTGGCCGGAAGCTTTTTAGTGACCTATATATGTGGATCATAGTTCTTTCCTCTGGGCTTAGTTCATCCAAGTGGTTAGAAAGGGAGGCAGTTATATTTAACATAGGTTGGGAGGGACAGAGGAAATGCTTTAAGTGAAAGCTAGAATCCACCACATGGTAAGCTTGTAAGTACCCATACAGAAATTGCCTTCTCATTCTGTGACCACCCCAAGAGAACTTGGGGCATTTACTTTCCCTATTCAGGAAGTGACACACATTGGGCATCTCATTCTAAGATGAAACACTTGGGTGGCTGTGCATATTTCAGCCCTAGAGGTTCCCCTATTCTCTGCCATAACCTCACTCTCTATGGACATTCTTCTCTGAACATGTTTTTAACAATTCTTCACCAGGTTTTGCACTGTAAGTGATTTCTGTATTTCTGTATTTTTTTTTCAATCGTCTCTAGAACAGAAGTCACTTAAAGAAAAAAAAAATTCACACAGACCCCTGATAATGACTTTTTTGTTTTATTATACTAGTATCATGTTCCTTAAATATTTATGAATATAACTAGGAATAACTTATGCAGATATAATATATACATATATACATATAAATCACAAATTTACACACTAAATTTATGCACAATTAAAAATAATCACATCACACTCAATGACCAAATGTAGCAAACAGCTATGTTTTGTTTAAACCAAATAACATAATTAGATAGTCTAGAATGAAGATACATTTTCAATTTAGTTTTACATTTGGCTCTGAATACCTGAAATGTCTACATGCTTAATGGCTTAGGTAACATCAGCTAAGTTTTATTTGTAACTTCAAATAAGCAAAGTTCAAAATTAACATATTCTGTGAGCTTGTGAATCCTAAGAGTAACAGTATAAGAAATTTGCACTTACATGCATCCATAGTACTTTTTAGATTATGTGGCCTAAACCGGTGTCAACTTCATGGGCCATTCTGAGCAATAGGGATTATAGGTATATGCCAACATGGTCAACATCAGCATTTCCAAAATACTCTTATTCACTTGACAGTAGTGTTACTTCTATCTGTCTTCGATGGGTATCTACTCCAGTGCATACTTTAGAGGGTCATATGTGAAATAGTAGTAATGGTAATGGCAGCAGTTAATACTTGCTGAGTGTGTAAGGTGCCAAAGTCAGGGAATGATGTGTTGAAACCAGACCAAAAGTTCTTCCTTTTGTATGTCCTATCCAACTTAGAAAATGAGAATAGATCAAGGAACCCAGACAAGTAAGGCTCTCATCCTGTGACAAGAGCAATTTTGGGTTGGCTTGTCTATGCTGTCCTGTGCTATGGACAGCAAAATTGCTCACTCTTCCCAAATCCAGCTATAGCCAAACCCACATCCCTAAAGCATGTTTAGAAGCTTTTGTTATCTTTGTTGACCAAAAGGACCTTAAACGCCAAAGCAAACTCGAGTCATGATTTTAAAGACACTTCTGACATATACTTTTTAATCAACTTTGGATTATCAGAATGAGAACACAACAGTTAAACACTCTCATAAGAAAATGAGATATCTGTCTCCCCAGTAGGAGAAAATTTCTTCAACTTCATGAGAGCAAGGAACATTTGTTCTTAGTATTTTTTTTTTCCTGGCAGCCTTGTGAGACACCTATTGACTTCCTGGTGTGAATGTTTTAGCATATGGCATGATATGGCATTGACTAGTTTAGGCATAAATCCATCCTTCTGACTCAACAAAGATTCCACTGATTACTTGATGGAGGGAATGTGGTAGTTGAGAAAAGGTGACCTGTACCCTATTTATACGAAGCCAATTCAGTCATTACCTAGCTGTTTGCCCTCGAACAAGTTATTTGATCTTAGTGTGTCCCATCTTCCTCATCTACAAAATGGAGATAGTAGCAGATTTGACTCATGTAGTTATGAGAACTGGCTTTATTTAATATTTTTTAAATGGTTCTGGCATATAATAATAGTAAATGGTGGCTACTCAAGGATACAAATAGACTCTACCCTTGAGGAGTTTCTGTAATGGGATTACTATATAGAACAGAAATGGATGAATGCTATAAAGCTAAACAGAACAAAAGACCATGGACATCCGAACACAGGAAGGTTATTGCAGGGAGGTTCAGTGATAGGATATTGGAACTAAGTTACTGTGAGACCTCATTTCCTGGTGTGATAATCTTGAATTGTGCTGGAGGCCTATTCTGTTGCTTAAGACTGTTTTCCACTGGTGAGTTCAGAAATCAGGCACAGTACCTCACACTGCAGTCCCTATAAAGTACTAGGTACTATAAGACTGGGTAACATGTAGTTCTCAATGGAGATGAAACAGAAGTATAATTTTTATATAAAATTCTTCCAGGTATCAGCTTAAATATCACCAATAATATCATGTTTGCTTATTTTAGAACGGTATAGCCATACTATAATTGAGTTTTTACCTGATTTCAGGGATTGAGCCCCGGATGTTATGATACCTATGCAGCAGACATAGACTGCCAGTGGATTGATATTACAGATGTACAACCTGGAAACTACATTCTAAAGGTAGGGGCTTTGAATACATGTAATTAACCATGAGGATTCAATACACTGACTTTTTATTGTTTCAAATATTAAATAATCATGGTCTTGCAAGTAACTGAACCCCTTTCCAAACAATTTTTAAGCAACCCAAAGGATGCTGTTTTTAAAAAGAGCTCAGAGAAACTTACACACCTCTCTTTGTAATATATTCAGTGTTTACCTGCTTAACTTAAACTCCTTTTTTTGCTTGATTTAGCTGAGCCCTCCCCTTTTTTTAAAGCAATTTCAATGTAGCATCTCTATAGAAATAGGAGGGAATAACAGTATGCAGTGAATAGGAAATGTTTCACCATGCTATTTTTTGTTGTCCAGGTCAGTGTGAATCCCAGCTACCTGGTGCCTGAATCAGACTACAGCAACAATGTGGTACGCTGTGACATTCGCTATACAGGACACCATGCCTATGCCTCAGGCTGCACAATTTCACCGTGAGTATTATTTGTGAAGCCAAGAAATTTCTTTTAAAAAGAGCCTTGTACTTTATGTTAATCAAAAGGCTGGGAAGTGCTTACAAGTTTTGTCACCTGGATTTATACAGCACTGGTGAGCTTTTACTACCATAGTCTCCTTATAAATGAAGCAAAGCAATAATTAAGTATAAGACCATAAGACCCATGTTATTATTTTTGACAATACTGGAAAATGAGAACACAGTAATGTTTTATTCGTGGAACATCTTATACATTGTTCACCTGGAAAGATGCAGTGTTTACCTGCCAAGTGCTGTAGTAGTTCAGTCCAACAAATTGTTCAATAAGCAGTGTAAGTGAGCTTGTAGGAGCCACAGCCATTGGCTTTATTCCCTTTCCCCCATGCTCCCTGTTGGGAATGCAAAGAAGTTCAAAGCATTTTCCAAGGTACACTTTCATGTGCTCAATGCAAAATTTGTGTGTGTGTGTGTGTGCGTGTGTATACGTGTGCGCACGTACACATGTGTGTGTGTGCATACCCATGCATGTTTCTTCCCTCCATAAATCCCTTAGTCTTGAAATAAGTTTGTGAATCTTAGAAGGAATCTCAGCTCATAAATATTAAGCTGAGGTTCTTTAATGAAGAGGAAAGTAGGGCAGGTTTGTCTGGTTGCTATCTACCTTGCCTGACTCCTTTAAAGCTTTGTCTGCTTCATGTTATGCTAATTGTTCCTTCCAAATAGTGAGAAGATCACAGAAGTAACTAACTAAACAGATATCATCTTTGCACTGATTTTGCAGAGATGTTGGTAGCTTGAAGGCACTGTTACCTCACACATTTGCATAAAGGAACAGAGTCAGTCTGTGCTTTGCAAGCATTATCACATTCTAGAAATAAATGAGGCTCATGACAGTAAAGAGATGATACTGGAAAATTACACTTCTGAATATGTCCACAGCACAGAATGTTTGCCTGGGTCATTGGTTCACCAAGCATGGAGTTAGTCTCAGCATTGAAGGCTCCATAATCTAAGATAATTTATCATAAAAATGAATAGGTAGCTGATTCTTTTATCTTCTATTTTTTTGTTAACTAATTCTACGTTTATCTACTTACTCTCACTTTGCACTGTATATTTAAGGTCCTAACCTGGTATCAAGGAGCAATATTAAGATAGGTATAATGGTTACCTTCTAGACTTACTATAGAAATTCCCGAGTATTCCATATAAATTCCTTTAATGTTTGTATCCTTCCCTATACCCAAATGGCCAGGATCTAACTGCTTGTTCACATTGTGTACCCATTGCCAGGTAGAGACCTGCCACCTACAGCCTCCCACTCAACACTTCATTCATGAATTACATTGTCTCTCAAGAAATACAGAATTGACTATTGAACAGAATTTGAATATGGCCTTGAAGGCTTAGAGCTATAATAGCAGAGCTGGGGAAGGGCATGTCTAGAGGAGTCCAAGTCATGGGAAACTTCCCAGCAGAAGTGAGTCGCAGGCAGTGTTTGCAAGGGCTCCTTCCAGCTGGGTTTGCCGGCTGGGATGGAAAGGACAATGGGAGAACAGGCTAAGCATTCTCGGCTTTTCTCTGGAGGCCATGAAAAAAAATCTGACATTTTTGAGCAGGGAGTAAAAGGCACATAAAGCCATGTGGTCAGTCTGATGGGGAAGTGTGTGTGACCTCATGCTGTCATTATTGGTGCCCTCCCCCCAACTCTAATGACATGTCACTGTTAGCTCACTGGTTGTTTCTCATGTCAGTCAGATATTCGAAACCATTCGGATGGAATGCAAAATCCACCCAATAATTTGGTACGTACCACTCATGAGGCCTCTTTTCCTCAGTCTTCTGAGATGACTCACACCCTTTTTACTTCTGTCCTGCCAAGTGACTGGACTTTCTCCTCACAGAAATTGATGTTTAGAAATAAGCAGTTTATGATTTGAATGCAAGTGAGTTCTTTATATGAAGACTGATGATCAGCATTTCAACACAACAACACCTGGCTCATAATATTTACTATTTTTCCCATTAATGCATCATTCTGCACCCAGAAACATGCAGAATAGGAGAAATGCAAGATGGGGCGGGAGTCATGACTATGCCTCCGGGCAGACACATCACTCTTGTTCCCTGGAATGAGCTGACCTGCTTGGGTGCTGGTTCCAGAAGTCCTGCTTGACTTTTCCTTCCTTCAATCTTGTTTGTTTGTTTTGCCTTTTAAACACCCAGACTGTGGACATCAGGCATGTATTTCATGTCATTAATACATTACACATTCTTTTCCTCCGGTCACTATTAAAACATGTTCTAGACATAATTTTTACAAGATGGTTATTGCTGAAGCAGAGGAAAATTGCTACGTCAAGTTTTTTAAAAGGCTGACTAAAATGTTATCTGTTGTGCTCATTTGTGATATTATCCTGCTGATAACTTGTCCCGTGTGTTCTCTTAATATAGGTATTAGAAAACAAGCCCAACTCCCACTGGATAAAGCAGTGCCTGGTGTTTGGAAATATGAAAAACATAGATTAGCTTCAGTAGGAAGGACTTACATATTTTAAATGGCAAACAACAAAGGACATTTTGTTTGGACTCTTTCACAACAGATAGTGCAACTGGATTTTGCGTGTTTGAATCAGCATTATTTGGGAAATTTTAAATGCTTACTCGTGTTGTTTTGTGAATTAGCGGTGCTTCAGTTTTGTGGGTGCCTACTTGGCTCTTTCAAAGAACCCCATATTTCTTATCTTCTTTTGAAATGCAAGATGGGGGAATGCAAAGGAGAAAGTGATATTTTCACGAACGAGCCATAATTTGAATTGATTATTTTCTAAAGTGCAAAAATCAGTAAAACAAGGATGGGCTATGTCTGCCTAAATACAGATTGATTTTAAAATCATAGTCCTACTGTGTAAACAGGAACGGATGCATTTGGTGCTGATGAAGGGTCAAATACATAACTATTGTTGTCATGATATATTACTCTATAGCAGAGAGATGGCAATATATGTATTCAGATAACTACATCCCTATATAAAATTATGTTTACATTTTAAATTACTACATAATTTCTTTCTGTTAAGTGCTTCATTTCCCTCTGACTTGAGTAAACTTCTGTTTTAGAATGAGTTAGATTCCAAATTCCTGTCCGATATTTGCAGATAATTCCCCTCTACACTTAATTTTTCTGTGGGCAGAAATGTCTGATGTGGAAATCTTCACACTGCAGGGATTAACAATATGAGGAAAGCATTTTGATGTCATGTGTGATCAAGGTAGAGCAGATATGCCCTGAAGCATATTCTACTGTTAGCCAGAATTAAGTCACTACTGACATAGAGATTACACAATGAATCTCTAACACCACAGCCATCGTCAAAACCCTGCCCCCCCAAAAAAGAAAAAAGAAAAAAAAAAGGAAAAAAAATACTGGAAAACCTTTTTTTTTGGGGTGGATTTTTTTTCAACTCTACTATACTTCTAAAATGTTCAGCTATTAAGGGGAATGTTTAAAAAAATGAAATCATCCATAATATGTGACTACTGTGTATAACACAGGACCATCATCCCAGATTCTTCAGGAATTGGGTGTACAGTGCTGTGTACTTACCAAAAAGATGGTCCAAAATAGCGCAGCACATAGCATCGCATACTTGAGAGGTTGATGAACAGGAGGGAAGCATGCAATTTCTGCGAAAACAAGGACTGTGGGGCACAATGATACTGCTGTGACCTTACTTCAAACTGTGAAACTGCAACAGTAGAATTTGGAAACTCTTAAATTCAGAAGGTGCAGAAAGAATTCAAGTCAGACTTTCAAGTTCCTGGTGCTTACGGTGAAGTTTTCCTTCCTTAACCAGCATTACAATCTCAAGTAAGGTGTTTGCTGTGCCAGAATGTGTCAGGTAGATTTTCCCAGTGAGCTGGGATCCTGTCTCATGTGTCATGGAGTTGTAAGTAACAATTACTAATCATCATGCTGTACTCACTGCTGCAAGGGCAGGTGAGAGAAGCCAGAGATGGGCAGTTGCCAGGGGCAGATAGCACGGTACAAGGTTCTTATCCACCTGAGCACACACTTACCCATAAGCACGTAAAAACAGAACTTTGATTGAGCTGGTATCTGATCCACAGGATTGCTTCTTTGATGTACCTCTTTGCCTTAGATTGCTTTTCAGTTTTAAGATTGTAGAACAATCCTTTCAAATGATAATCATTCTGATAGAGATATTTTAATGTGCAAGCTTTTAAAAACAAAACAAAAACTACTGTCAGTATTAATACTGAACCAGACTGGCATGCGTAAATTTAACATCTCATCTTACTAAGATTCTTAACTCTATAAAAAAATAGTGAGTTAATAGTATGACTTTTAGATATTTAGGATAATAGCTTCAGTGAAAACTTTATCTCTTTAGTTATCATGTGGATAAACCAAGCATTTACCTACTAGATATTAGAAAACACTAAGACTATCCCTAACTTTACTAAGTACAAAAATTAGGCTCACCTTTCATTTTCAACTGTTAAAAAAAAATGTCTATAGAATTTAAAATTTAAGTACTACTATTTGTCATGGCCATACTTTATTTTTTCAAAACATAAGTTAAAAGTTATTAATTATATACATGTATGTATTTCTAATAATTAAAATATGTTTCAAATCCATGAAATGCCTGTCTTTTAAATGTAATTTTGGATTTTTGGTCGACTTTTTCCAATTAAGAAGCTGTTTATTCATAAACATTTCTTTCCTTTCCATAATTTTAAAACACAACAAAATGACTTGTAAGTGCCGACTCAACACTTCATATAGTTAACCCTTGGGCATCTGTTCTCTAGTGACCATCAAGAATAATGATAAAAACCACAAGCTAGTCTACTGAATTCTAAATTGTAAAAAATAAATGAGAATGACAGAAAGAACGTCAAAGACTGAAAAGAAACTTGTTTTTATACTTTAAAAGGCTCTGAAAAAAAAATGGAATACAACATGGTTCGGTCT